AAAAAAAAAAAAAAAAAATATGTTACTGAATAAAAATAATATTCTTGCAATCCTGGATCAATATGAGGAAGGAAACCTGACCTGAATGATTCTGGTAAATCATTGCCTTTGAATGGGCATAACACATTTTAATGTCAGAGCATGGATCCTCTGAAAGACAGAATTTTACAGAACAGCCAAGGGGTTGCAGTTTCTTCATTCTTGGTCCTGGGTTAATTGCCTCCTCGAAATGCTCCCATATAAGCAAAGGCCCCTGCATACCAGAGGAGCCAAAGGAGGGAGAATGTCAATGTGGATTTTGTAGCTTGCATGTTTATGGCTGGGTACTAAAAGCAAGGGTTGTAGTTATGAAGTTAATCTTTCTGCTAATGATGGAAGCTATAATATATAAACCCCCTTGGGGGTTCAGAATGCAGGCAGACTGACCCGAACCTGTGAGTGCACACTGGAAGTACCTAGTAAGGGATTTAAATGTCCCTCTTTTCTAGGGAAGATGAGGCCTTAAAGAATCAGACGCCCCTTTTGTTAGGGGATCTTGGGGTGGAGCCAGGCTATTGGAAACCAGTGGTTTCCCTGTTTGAGCAGCCTAGAGCCCTCCTTTCATCTGCCAGTCTGAAATGCTTCCTGCACACAGCCACCCTTCCTAGTCTGTGTCCCTAGCCTTTGTCTCTTCCTTTGGAAGCAGCAGTCACTCCCCTGCTGTGCACTCAGGACTGAGCTAGTTGAGCTCTCCCCTCCCAACCTTCCTTTCTAACAAGGCTCTTTTCCTCCCCCAGGAGAAAAAGATCATGGAATTGCTGGAGGAGAAAGCACAGAAGCCTTTTCTCTTTTTCCACAATAAGGAGGGTTCCACCTCTGTCTTTGAGTCTGTTGCCTACCCTGGCTGGTTCATAGCCACGCCCCCCACAGCGGGACAGCTTGTCACCCTCACCCAGGAGCGGGACATAACTACTAACACGAACTTCTACTTAGATCTCTTGAATTAAATCTAGTGACGGCCATGGCTAGCAGATTCCAGGACAGAGAATCAATCTGTCAAAAAATGTTTAGGTAGTGCCGGTAGCTCAGCAGCTAGGGCACCGGCCACATACAGCAGGGCTGGCAGGTTCTAACCCAGCCCAGACCTGCCAAACAACAAATACAACAAAAAAAATAGCCAGGACTTGTGGCGGGCGCCTGTAGTACCAACTACTTGGGAAGCTGAGGCAAGAGAATCCCTTAAGCCCAAGAGTTGGAGGTTGCCGTGAGCTATGACACCACAGCGATCTACCAAGGACAACATAGTGAGACTCTGTCTCAAAAAATACAATAAAATAAAATAAAATAAAAATAAATGTTTTGTTTGAAAATGCAGTTAGTCATCTTAAGAAACCAGCACACACTGAGTTCATTAGCATTTCAACCCATCCCCAGGTCTCCTCATTCACACCACTCCCAAGCGTCCACATCTGCACCGTGTCCCCGATTTGGATGTCATCCTCCTAGCACAAAACCTAAGAAACACTTTTCATTGTTTCTTTATCATATCCCATTATCTACTCAGCTGCCAGGTCTGGTTTGGTCACCCTTGAAATGCTTCCTGCACACAGCTGCCCTTCCTATTCCTTCTGCCAAACCATGTTCTAGAGATGTGAATTCCAAATATTTTTGTTCCTATAGCCCTATCAAAACAAGATGTCCCTTATTAAATCTATGCAGATTTACTATGAACATTATAATAAGTACCTCAAATGATAAAGCTAATGGATAAAATAAATGTGAAATAAAAATTTTACAGGTCTTGATAATCTTGATGGATGGATAATATACTTTGACACACAGTACATACTGTTGAACCTTAAACAACACAGGTTTGGACAGCGCAGGTCCACTTATATGCAGATTTATTTCAATAAAAACTCCACCAAGTGTGCCCACCTCTCCTGCCTCCCCTTCTACCTCTCCCACCTCTTCTGCCCTTGCCATCCCCAAGACAGTAAGACCAACCCCCTAGCCTACTCAAAGTGAAGATGACAAGAATGTAGACTTTCACAATGATCGATGACCCTCTTCCCCTTAATGAACAGTAAATATATTTTCTATTTCTTATCATTTCATAGCATTTTCTTTTCTCTAGCCTACCTTACTGTACAAATACAGTAAGGTAGTACAGTAAGATATTTGTATGTGATCCAAATAACCTATGCAGATTTACTATGCTTCATCAACTACTTATGTTATTGTTAAGGTTTCCCATCAAGATTATGCTATTAGTGGTTGAGTTTGGGAGGAGTCTATATTTAAATTTTTTACTATATAGAGAACAGCACCCCTAACCTGTGCCTTGTTAAAGAGTCAAGTTACTTTGGTTAAGATTAATTGTTGATCATGGTAAATGTAAATCAACCTATATTTTAAAGAATTATTCAGATCAGTTTGCATTTCTTTCAGACAATGTCTCAGAACCAAGTGTATTGTCTTTGCTTTTACTTTATAAAGTGATTGGAAGAAGAAGCATTAGCTTTAATATTTTCTTGTTTTCTGGAATTTTAGTAGCATATGTTCAATCTACAGTTTCTCTATATGGATACTGTTAAGCCAGTTGTCCATTTTGTGAGAGTTACTTTCATTAAAGCCTGTAATATAATCTGCACATTCACTAATAAAACACATGTAGATTCCAACATACTATAATATTCTGAACATAAACATGAGCAGGACAGGCTCTCTTCCCTCAAGATATCTTGCCCTTTTATAGTGCATGACAAGCTGGGGTGCTTGGTCTTGCGATGGGCATTCATGACTAAATTCAGATAATCTGTCCAAAACCTTGTGTTATCTCCTGTTTTTGCTGCCAATGATTCTGTTTAGGATATTCCTTGAACCCCACCTGACATCCTGTTAGCCTACTTTTTACTCCAGTCATTGCTCACTCAACTATGAAAAGGTGTAATCTGATAAGATGTTGTTTCAGCTGTACTGAGCATCTCTCTCTCGCTATGTCAAGTTTCCCGGGACTCCTGGGGATGGACACTTGCAGGAACCTACTTGTCATTCACATGCACAGACATGGAAGTGAGAGAAAGCTGATCCATTGGACCGTTGACCAATGGAGGATGGGAATGGTTGGAGAATGGCTACTTTCTTCCAACTCAAAGATGGGCAATTCTCAGGTGGAACATTCTGCATGGTTCCTCAGAGTTCCAGCAGTGTTGAGCCATAATTGCCCAAGGCAGGGCTGTGCTCAAGAATGCATTCCTGTCTTGACTTCCCTCATTTCTCCACTTCAATTTCTCCAGCCACCTCTCCTATTCCCTGGGGTCACTTTTCATCATCCTGTATGCAGACCCTGTCTCAAGCTCTGCTTTCTGATGTAGATCTAGGCTAAGTCAGATTCTATCAAAGCAAACTTCTCTTCTCGGCTCATCACCCAACATGTTGGATTCTTCCATCTCTGTGTCTGTGCTCATGCTTCACACACATCTCAAATACTTCCATCATTGTGTATCTCACCTGCCTATGTCTCACTAACATCTTAAATCCTTTTGTAGCATTTAGAGGCCTCTCCTTATCTTCCCAAGCACAGGCAGCACCTTGTCTTCTTTGAAGTCTGTGGCCTTTTGCCTTCTTATTGGATATTTCTTTCATTAGACTTTGTGCTATAGCTTTTTCTTCTTGGCCCATTTTCTGTCTTCTCTGTAACCAAATTCTAGGTATATAGTGGGCAGAGATTTTGTCTCTTACACTTATGTACTTCATTTAGACACCAAATTTTGCTGCTTGTATAACAGTTCTCAACAAAGTATTGTTGAAACAAATTAGTTTTTATTGTATGTATTAGCATCTTCCCATTGATACATACCAAAGTTTGTCAGGGAGGACTTTGCCTTGTGATGGCAGGAATAGCCCTCAACTTCAACAAGGGTCCAAGGAATTATAAAACTCATCACAGAATATGAAGAAGGAAAACACAGAAAGGCTGCTTATGAGCGTCCTTGTCTCAATTCCTTCTCCTCTTCCCCATATGCCAATGTGACCCCAGGAGACTGTGACAATGCTAGGGCATCCTTTCAGGAGGAGATGGCAGCAGAATTGAAGTACAGCCTAGAGTATCGCCCAGGGGACCTCCAGCCAGTATCTCTCTCAGAGGACTCCATGCACAGCCTGGGGAGTTGCACTTTGTCCAAGTCCACCCCCACATTCATTTATGCTTACATACAACTGTGTAGGAACACAGGAGAAAACATCTTTGTTATATTATAGTTGCCCCTGGATTAAAGAAACAAGAGGTGTCTTTTAATCCTCAATCTAGATCTTTTGAGCATCATCCGTAATGTCCCTGCTTGTTGCCTGATCCCATAGGAACTCTGTTGTCCTCATCTCACCCAGCACTGGATGCACCCTGCTGCTTCCTGCATCTTCACACTCACATACTAGGCATCCTGCAAGGAGTAGCTTCTGGCTTTTCCTCAACTTCCCTGTATTGTCCTTCTTTCTCCAGTTTACTGGCTCCTCTTCATGTGACTTCTAAGAACTGTGGTTCCTCAGGACTCATCCTTGAGTCCTCTTCTCCTCTATGCATCTCGCTGGTGATAGCTTTTGCTCTCATGAATGCAGATTTCAAGCGTGTATTGACAATGTGATCTCTATCTCAGAACTCTCCCCTCAAATCCAGACTTGAGCTTGCAGCTACCAGTAGGGACTGTCTCAGAACTTGTAAATGGAACATGACCTGAGTAGACCTTTTTTTTCCTGTTAGTAACTTTACTTTTTTTAAAATTTCAAAATATTAAGAGGGTATAAATGTTTTTGTTTACATGGATCACTTTTGTAGTGTTTGAGTCACAGCTATACATGTGCCCATCACCCAAATAGTGTTCATTGTACCTGTTAAGTATAAGTGTGCCCATCACCTCTCCCCACACATTTGATGTCCAATGACTTTTACTTTCCTCTGTGCACTTGAGTGCTCATCAGGTAGTTCCAATTTAATA